GACAAGGTGCGTTCCTCTAAGTCTTCCTACCAATATGACCGAGTTGCGAAAACAAGGTCAAACAACTTCTTAGATAGAGTTTGAATAATTTTCTTAATAAGTTAAACTGATTTTAAATGGATTCTCTTTAGCACTTAAATCGAATCTGAAGTTAAGTAAAAAACCAATTTTCTTGCATGATCCTGATTGCGTAAGATGATTTTTGATAGAAATGTTAATTTGGAAATTTGTATTCATTCTGTATTGTAATGGCAGCATGGCCACCATGAAGCCTGACATACTTACCAATAATTATAAGCTGTTGAAAGTTCAAAAAATTTGGTACATTTATCGGACAGTTCGCCATCCGGTTTTACTAAAAAGAATACCCATATGCATACACGTGAACACACGCATGCGCTGAGCTGAGTTGACAAACATAGAAATTGAGGCAAAATAATACGTTTATTTTTGCCTAATTGCTTATATGACCAGTCTTAATAAAAGTAAAACTCGTCAAAATGCTTACTTCTAACGATCCCCACACTCGGAATCATGTGAGTCAGAAACGGCGGTGATGATTCTAAGGCACTCTTCACTGGCCCGCTGGCGCCTTGCTCACTTATAACTTTCGGAGTGCTGACGTCATTGAAGGGATTAAAGTCAGCCATTTTCTCTGAAGGTGTGTTGGCGCGACCAATCTTCGTCATCTCTGATTCCAACTGAGCATCGTTGGTCACCGACTCAGCAGTCTGTTGTTGGGCGATCGAAAGAAGCCTTTTTTGTTGTCCCAACAGCGACGACTTTCGCTTCACTAGAGATCGAGAGATCGAGTTCCGATTGAATACACCAGCATGGATAGCTTCAGTTCGTGCCGGGCTACTGAGCTCAGAAGTGGCCATCGTGCCAGAAAAATTCCTGTTTACTCCTGAAGAGAGATAGGCCTCCGGCATCACTTTTGTGCGCACCTTATTCACTGGCCAGGAAAGAAAATATGTGAATTGTTTAGTTACAAAACCTCATAACAGATAGCCAAGCTGTAGTCCCCAATTAAATACAGATGCCCATCAACATGGAGATGGTTGAGGTGGAGACCCAGAAGAGTAATCAGAAATTCGTCAGTCAAACCTACGTTGCTACCATAAACAACCAGGATTCCTATACTTCCAGGGAAAAATCATCTACAATAGAACTGTATCCGGCCTATTTTGTTTAAAGCGATGATGAACTGGTAATTGAAATTTCCCACGATTATATGACTAGACCTCATGGTTTCAGTGCATTTCAAAGCACTCTGATTCTCAAAC